GTATTTCCTTTTTAGATTGTTTTTAGAATATTTAATAAATTTATTAATTTTCTTTTTAATGTGCATTTAGACTTTCGCGTGCACATGTTGCATAGCCACTTTCCACATAAGAATACTTGTCCTGAAGTATCGGTCACTGACATCCCATTGAATTCTATGTAATACATGGAAAATTCTCGAAATTTTATAAAGTTCGATCGGTTCCAAATTTGCAATGGAAACTTGACAAATTCTTTTTGTACACGTTATTTAATGTAAGCTTACGCATATACGATAAGCTATAATTAAATAAACATTATAACTTAATGTGTAACGTTTTTGGAAAAATTTTCACTTAATTACGTGATTGTGTCTTCTTAAAGAAAACAATATTTAGCACTTCAACTTAAAGATCATTGCCCAATAAGAAAGATAAAAACTCTGCGTTTTTACCATCTCAAGAGTCTCAGAACCCACCCCACTTATAAAAATAGGTATATTGGGACATACAGCATCATCATCGTCATCATACAGCATCCATGGTATGCTACGAGACTTGTGTTATGGATACCGAATAGTTGGTACACTACAATATATAACTTTAAATACATACATATTATAAATATAAACACCCATGACTGGAGTACAAACATTTGTGCTCATCACACAAATGAATTCCCGGCAGGACTCGAACCCGCAATCGCTGGCACATCAAGTAGGGTCAATACAAAGTGAGCCAAACGTTTCGTCAACATTCACATGTAGTGAGTGTTGGGTCCTGGTTCCGAAATCTATAAGATACGATTGACCTGGACTGAGGAGTCTGAGAGTATTTATGATGCCATCTTACAATTTTAATATAACGATAAATTCTGTTTGTAACAAAGTACCTTAAACATGCACAACTTGTTTACATTCTGTTTTTATACTAAGAGTTTGGTATAAAAACAAACATACGAATCGAATTGAAAACTGCTTCCTTTTATAATGTCGGATAAAAATACATGGTTCAGGCCATGGTTGGTCCATCGGTCATTGATCTTATACTGAAAAATATATCTACTTTACACTTCGGTTAGCTTTAAATGTTATAATAAATCGATGCATAATCGTAAAAATATTAAGTGCAATAAAAATACGTAAACATATTGTCGTTGAAAATATTAGAAGTTGACTGTGTGTGTGTGTGTGTGTGTGTGTATAAATTGAAAAATATTTGACCAAATTGGGTAAGTTTCAACACAAAGGAGTTATTATTTTTTATAATAGAAAAAAATATGAAGGAACATTCTATTAGGTCATATTAGTAATTGAGAAAGAGGTGATTGAATGTCTGCATATCTCAAAGATCATAGTTCAATCCATATTCATCTATCTAAGCATTACAAGCTTTCACACTTTAAAACCTTCTTTACTAAAAAACTTTGGTTTTGACTTTCTGTATTTAGGACCACCTACACTTAATTCTTTGATTTAATTTTAATATCTTCAAAAAATAAATGTGTAGCAAACGTCAAATAATCAATTTGGTAAATATATGAGCAGTAGTCTATATGAGTTCTTTTGCAACGTGTGTGGGACTTGCAGTTACTTTAAATTATTTATAACTCTCAAGAGGCTTTATAATATAGTTTAAACTTATATTATCTATATGTTTTAAAACAATTTTAAGTTCTGAACCAATTTTGTCTAACTTTTATCAAATAGATTATATTAGTCGTGATACGTGTAATATCCTCAAAATTGCGGACAAGCTACTCGGTGATGTAGTATAATGGCGCGTGTTATCGCGCCGGCAAGCGTCTGCGCGTGCCACATCTTATCGTAGCTATATTTATCTCTGTATTACTTCACTTTAAACGACGCGCTATAAATTAGTCTCAGTAGGTTAGGAATACACAAATGATAGTGTATTTATTAAAATGATTTCCATTTTATTACACAATTAAATTGATGCAACGACCACTATAGTTAACCTGTACATAAATAGAACTTGTACTTGCAAAAAAACTGTTTTAAATAAAATTATTTTAATATTATGAATGATAAATGTAAAGATAAATAGATTGCTTGTAAATCTAGTAATTAGATAAAATCGGCACGTGTTACGCGTGCAACGGAACGCAAACGGAAGTGATGCAACAGATTCGGCGCGCATCTGTGTAAACATGGCGTATGTTCAACGTGACCAGAATTTCAGTCTAATTTGAGACACCAGACCAGCTAAACTATTATAACAACAAAAACAATTTGAATTATTTTATGTATTATAGTATAATAAACAGTATAATGTACACATTCACGATAATAAATCTTTTAGTAAAATATATGTAGTACATGTAAATATTTTATCAAATATATGTACGGAATTAAGAAAAAAACTTAAAACGATAAATATCAACAGCAACCGGAACAATATATTTAGTCTTCGCTTAATTCCACAGATTATAAATAATAATGAAGATTATTTTTAATCTGTATCAATAGTCCCGGTAAGTTCAGGCCGTGTGGCTTACATCCAGCTTTTCTGAATGGTATGATGTTTCCCGCGCTCGCGGCCGACGACCCCGCGCTCGGTCACCGCCCCATAGTGAAAGTAATTCGCGATCGGCGACCGCATGCTACACCAAGTTGCATAGATTTATTACATGTTACGTCTTTTTGCATGGACAATATCTTTTAGGTAATATTTTGTGATAAAAGTGCATGCCAGATACTTTAGATTAAATCTGGAAACGGAAATTAGATTATGGTAAAAAAGAAAATTTGTGTTGTAGTAGCTTTTACGAGATACTTTTGATGTTTTATTATGGCTAATTGTATCACTGTTTGTATTGTAAGAGCTTTGACCGTTCTCATGCATTTTTACGAGTTCATATTTTATATGCGATGATTTTTATTAGATATCATTTACATTTATCAATGTGTATTGACGACTAATAGTTTTATTAATTGACTTAAATATTTAGTTTCAACGATCTGCAACGTGTATATTTTTATATAGCTTATATCGGAATTTCTTATAAAAGAGTTCATCTTAAAATCGATGAACACAATATCTTTTTATAGCATTTGTTTAAGAGAACCATATGTTTTATATTTTCTTTACGGTGTGTAAAAGGTTGACGTATTCGCAAAAGTCGTTGATCTCAGTTTTTGGTGTAATGAAAAACACCTGTCCAAACAATGCTTGTTTGGCATTACATGGCGTTCTTCGTTAAATAATTACTGCACTTTCATTCAATCAATTGTAATTGTTACAATGTGTTAAATTGTATTGTATGCTTTCTAACGTGTCTGGTGCTGAGAAAAATGCAACAAAGTCGTGTCTAAATTTATACTTAAATTTATATTTAGTGTACGTACGTGCACTACGAATGTTAATTATGTTGTACAACAAAAATACCTCTATCTAGCGACTCACCTCCGCTTCGCTAGGGTTCGTCCCTAGGTCCTACCTGTACAATAATTTAAGGTAGTCTGCTAGATTTGTTGACATTTATGAGTAGTGCTCCGCTCCCTTGAGTAATAGTAATTATATATAACATTAGCCTTGCCCAATAAATGGGTTGTCTATAATGCAAAAAGAATTTTTAAAATCGGATAAGTAATTCCTGAGATTAGCGCTTTCAAACAAACAAACAAACAAACAAACTCTGCCTCTTTATAATATTAGTACAGATTTTAGTTATTAAATATAGATTTTTATGCCTGCTTTTTTAAAATATAGCTTATAAATAGATTGAAAGTACTAAACAATCATAAGGATAGATAGATGGCATGTAAATAAAAGAAGCAAAAGGACTATTCTAACACGAGCTATATATATATATATATATATATATATATATATATATATATATTATATATTATATATATATACTATAAAATAAAATTCCGTAGAACTGTTTAATAGTAGATCTTTAAAATTTCTAATATCTTCTAAGCTATCATTAGGCGATAATAAAATGCAAGGGTCTTATGTTTCTTTATTAGTTCTATCGATTACCTCACAACTTTCTAGCGTGCTATATGGTAAAGGTGAGCGCTATTGGTCTGAAGTGCATTGGTCCTTACTATGTAGAAAGTATATTCCGTGCAAAATATATTCATGAATGGATTACGCATTTAAATTACTAAATTACTTTAAAGTTTACCGTTAAAAGGATTTGAAAAGAAAAATTATGTGTAATTAAGTTTTTTTTTAACGTTTTCAACATGGCAGGTGTATGAGTATGATTGGTAAAAATTGATGGATCGGTTTTGTTGTTTACATAATATATCCATTTATTTAATGTCAAATATTTTAAATAAAACTATCTTTTCGGATTATTTCGCGGATTTATTTTGATTTTTGGTTCCCGACGTTTCGAATGCTTTACAGCAATCATGGTCACGGGAGAGACTGAGGTGTTAGATGTCTCGAAGGTATAGTTGTTACAGATAACCTACCCACAATAACAAAATGAAAAATTCTACCAAGTACCTTACAATATTTTATAAATTTAAACATTTTTATAATTTTAATTAGTTTTATAATTGAATATGGAATATATTATTTATTTAATTTTTGCTTTTATCATGAATATTATTACAATTTTAAAAATATTCATTAGTAATCTATATTTAGTGTTGCCATTGTTATATTTATAACCATAACGAAAAAATATAAAATATAATATTCATTATTTAAGCCACATAATTGTTCTATGTGTAATTTAAAAAAGTTAAAATTAATTAAGAATAATAATTTTAATTTAGTTTGCTATTTGTAAAAGTATATAGTAATAATGTTGCTTAGTAAATTGTCTTTTTTAAATAATAAAGTTTCAGACATATGAATTTTTTTAATAATCGATTTAAGCGATTTAAGCTTATGAAATCGATAATATGTCTGAAAATGTAAAATTTTGAGTGACGTATTTTATAAACGGCCCCTAAAATATTAAGAAAAATTTATTAGTGATGTAAAATTCACACTTCGTGTATCCAAATATTTCAAAATAACTTCTTTTGTTTAGGTCTTGTTACAATACCCAAGAGGAGTAAAAAGATTAAAAATGTGCTGACGCGTATAGACGACATGATCGGTCCTCTCGGTGCCCTGAAAGATTGTGTCGACCAAAGGTTAAGGATAAAGGTGAGCTTTATTTCAATTTATACATAGTTTTGTAACAATATTTAATAATTCCGACATTCTCACAACTTTATTCGCATATTGTTTACTTGTAAAATAGTAATATAATAATGATTTAAGTAAAGGTGATTTTTTTATAACCTTTATTGCTTTTGAATTAAGCCGATATTTTAATGTAATTTCTTTTTGATTAAGAAAACAATTATTAAAAAGTGCAAATATAGGTGGGAAATTCAAAGTAGTTGAAACGCACGCCATTGGTCAGACTGGATGTGACGTCAAAGTTTTATCATAACAGAGCGATTAGCGATTTTGTCTCTACAAATTAAGTCATCATTTTTCTGTGCATATCATACTGTGTTTAAATTATCCGTATCGGTATGATATTTAAAAAAAAAACTTTTGATACTAAATTTTAGTTTTTGAAGCTGGATATTTTTTTACAGTTATGTATATGACGATGTTAGCTATTGTATAAAAAATAAATAAAAAAATCACGCGTATTCCCTATTAAACCGCTCCTATGTATCGTAGCGATTGTTAGATAGCTTATAGCTTCCTCGATAAATAGGCCGGAATTTTTAAATTCCAGTACTAATTTTATGTGAAAGTTTGTATATTTGTATGTGTGTATGTTTGTTGCCCTTTCAAGCTGAAATGACTGGATTTTGATGAAATTTGAATCACAGATAGACTATCTGGAGTAACAGAGTATCATAAATACGAAAGGCGCCTTCCTAGACCCAAGCTAAGCAACGGCAAGGCGCTAGTATTGTTAATGCAGAAGTTTATGATCTAATGTGTTTAATGCTTTGTTACGTTGTAACGGAGTAACGAATTTGAATGATATTTACGAATACGTATAAGTGTAACACATTGAATACATTTACTTAACATACCACGAGAGGCGAATACTAATAATTTGTTATATAACAACGAATAGCATATCCGAGTGCACATCTAGACGAGTGTTAAAAGTACACTGTTAAAATTATTTGTGAAATAACAATATTTTTACAAAACAATGGTTAAGCGAAATCACTAAACTAACATATACTAATGCAAATTACTCCTCAGATCGAGTAATTTTACAAATCACAAAAGTTAATTGTAGTTTTACAAAACAGTTTTTGGGTTGCCCATCAAGAAAGTTCTTTATTTACAAGCATTGCTTGTGAATCTATTTATTAAATAAATATAAATAAATACATTGGTACATTAAGCCACAGCACCATCTAATTCCATGGTAAGCTACGAGGCCTGTTTTATGGTTACCAGATAGTTGATACACTTATCTAACTTTAAATACATATGTACATATTATAAACATACTCCCATGACTGGAGTACAAACTTCGTACTCGTCACACAAATGAATGCCCCCAGCGGGACTCGAACCCGCGACCGCTGGCACGGCAAGGAGGGTCACTACAAACGTGTCGTCATATTTATTAGAATTTTAACTAAAATCACAAACTAATATTGTAATTCATATTATAATGAATTTATGTGAAGTATAACGAAACTTTTTATTCTCTTTACAACTTTGATGTTTTGTAAAACAACCATAGACATTTTTAATAGTGTATGTACTATGCATAAGTAGATATTGCCAGAAAATTTAACAATTACAATTAAATAACGCTCAATAAATCGGTGTTATTTGAATTTTTGGCGTTATTATCCAGACTATAATATATCTGGTTAATGCGTGCGTTTTCGGTCATCATAACTACAAAGGGTTTGCATCCTTTGTGCCTCTGGCGGTATGCCAACCCGGAACATATCAACCGATGACAGACGGTGCTGCGCAAAAATAGATGTAGCTATGCCAGGAGAAGATCAATTTTTAAATGAGTATGAAAATCTATTCATAGATTTCTTAAAATATGTACACATATTTAAGAAATCTACTAATCTAAATTACGGAAACCATTAAAATCAATGAAATCATAAAATTGTGATTAGCACGTCCTTATTTACTTATTCAGCCCTTGTTTTAACGTCCCACTGCTGGGCACGGGCCTCCCGTCAATACGAGGGGGATCAGGCACACTCGCCTAGTTCGGATTGACGGACTATAAATGTCTTTCGAAAATTTACTAAGTTCTCTCAGACATGCAGGTTTCCTCTCACGATGTTTTCCTTCACCGGCTTCAAGGCAAGTGGTAATTATGTTAGAAATGATTCGCACATGAAAATATCAGAGGTGCGAGACGCGGGATTTGAACCCGCTTCATCCGGTTTCCCAAGCGAGCTCGTTACCACTGGGCTACCACTGCCTCATAAATATATATTTTATGTGAAAGTGTTTTTATTTCATTTTTAACGCAGAAACTTTGTACAGAATTTGAAGTTTTGCACATAGTGTGCGGAGTGATATATATACATCTAGAGTCTCACCCTCGCTCCGCTCTGGTTCGTAGTTACGTTTTAGCGTTTAGTATAGATTTCTCAGAGATAAGATATATTCCCGCAGTAAAAAGTATCGTATATGTTGAGACCTGGATAACGAGCTATCATCATACCAAATTTCATAAAAATCTCTTCAGTTGTTTGATAATAATGTCTATTTCAATAAGATTTTCCAAAAAATATTTAATGTACAGATTTGGCTTAGTTACAATTTTATTATATGTATACATGAACGAATTGTGGTTAATTCGTTCATGTATATATAGATCATGCTGCGCAATAGTAAATGACATAAAAATACCTACAAATCGACAATATTCATTTTGAATATGTACAAACTATTTAACATAATTAACATTTTAAAAACATTCAAGTTCAACAAATTTCAACATATTTAGAAATGTAGAAAGTACATTGAATGGTACATATCTTATAATACACACAGCATCCAAGCTACTTGGCGCTTGCCAAGTAACAGAAATGCCCAGTGACTCAGAAAGGCCTAGGAAGAGCCTTGTCGTACGTCACCCGATGCGCTGGCGCACGTCTATTAATGGCTTTCAATTTGTAATGTTAGCACACAAAGAAATTTTCAATTACGTTAAGTATACTTCAAAAATGTCCTGTTATGTTAAACGTTTAAAAGCAAATCATTGTAACAAACTCCTTCGGAAAAATCCTATTTTAGTATGTGTTTTTATCAAAACACATTCATAATATGCAAATAATATAAATTATTATCAAGAAGTATACATTTATATGAATATATTATACAACTTCTCGGTATCCCTTGAGGCGTAGTCAATGGCGAGTGAAATTGAATAATTCTTGTTCATAACATAATATAGTATAATTTAACAGCTAACTTATTCGCTTAACACTGAAACGCATAAGAAACTTCGTCCATCCATCATCATTTCTACAAGAGACCCAGCTTCCTCAGACGCGTGTGGTCTCGTCAATCATTTCGGTCATCTTTGAATGTACAATCTTTAAGTCAGCGGCTTTTTTAATGGCTAGCTACTAAATGAAATAACACAGGTTCGCTTCTCGTCGAATGCAGTCACATTTCACTATTATGTGACGTAAATAAAAACATTTTTGTTTTTTTTTTATTGATAATAATTAATTATTTTATCTATACATACGAGTATAATAAAATTCTGACCGAATCGAAACTGTACATCAAATATTTTTTGAAAAATCTTATTGAAATAGTCATTATTATTGATACAGAGGCCAAATCTATACTTTTTAGAATTTTCGTCTGCCTGTCTGTCTGTTTGTGAACACATCACGAGAAAACCACTGGAAAGATATTAATGAAATTTGGTATGATGATAGATGGTTATCAAATAGTTAAAGTTAGCAGTGTATTATATTCATAAAATCGTGCCATTTGATTAAAATTCAACTTGCAACAACTACGAATAATATTAATTTGTAATATGAAAACGAATATTAAAAAATCTATGTAAATGTTTTGTATACATATATTTGCTACTCAATTAAATCCTTTACAAATCTAAGACGTAACACATTATAACTTGAATAGATTTCAAAGTTTATTGTCTCTATGACCTCGTTTATAATATTTTATAATAATTGTACGCTTTAAGTACATGCGCCGACCTATCTTTGCCTTGAATTTTAATTCATTTATTACATAAAAAAAGATGCACAGCGCATATACTATGTTGGAAATATAAGTAATTAAATATATTATGAGACCCAAATAAACCACTTAGTTGTATTCAGTCCCTTTTTAACGGCCCACTGCTGGGCACGGGCCTCCCTTCAATACGAGAGGGATCAGGCCCACAGTCCACCGCGCTGGACTTCACATGTCTTTAGAATACTTGCTAAGGTCCCTCAGACATGCAGGTTTCCTCACGATGTTTTCCTTCACCATAAGACAAGTGGTGATCATGTTGGAAATGATTCACACGAAAGTCTCACAGGTGCAAGACCCGGGATTTGAAGCCGCTTCACTCGGTTTCTCAAGCGAGCGCGTTACCACTTGGCTATCACTGCCGTTGGTAACCACTTTGTTTAAGTTCCGTTAAAAAAATTCAGTCGAAAACGGAACCCTATTACTAGACCTACGCTGTCTAAACCTTAAAGGGCTCTATTTTAAATCATGATATTTTCCCGCTTGAGTTTGTTACAGAATATGTGCTATATTGGTGGATACTATAACATGACACATAAATGTATGTTTATTTTTTTTATTTATGTTACGCGATATCTTCGCAGAACCGATTTCTTTTAATGGAAATACCCTCAAGGGCTGTCCCACATAAATTTTAAGCAAGAAAATCTTCTCTTAAGGACGAAATAATTACTTTTAAAGCCACCCCAAAGAAAATGTACCTTTTTAGTAAAATGTAATTATCAAAAAAGCTATCAACTGAATTTCCTTTCAGTTATGCCTTCTAAATTCAAAGCTCTATAAGATTGCGGAGGCAATATTGAACTTTTATTATAAATATAAACTTTACATTCAATTGGAAACTTTTGTTATCTAACGTCGTTTTTCCCAAGATTAGGTTGTTATTTAGATTGGTTTATTCGTCGGATTTAGTCGAC